AAGACATCGACTCATCGGACTAGCATAATACACACCTAGCGAAGATGAGTTTTCGGATCTGCACCTGACTTGTTCCCTGCAAAGTTATTGCAAAATATAACCAATGTTGTCTCCTGTTATCATACATGATCCATTTTTATCACAGGTGACAATTCGGATCAAACACCAATGTGAGGACATTTCTTGTTGAAATGCTCCAAGTTCTAAGTAATGCATAGTCTTGATGGAGTGTAATCTACAAGACGACAGGCACCCTTATGACAAATGCACGGAGCTGGAGCTCACACTTAATTTGAATCAGTCGGGCTTTCTCCGAGCTCGCGTCATGGTCGGACTCATCTGCGACATACAGGGGGGGCCAAAAAAAAGTCACTTCGACCGAGTCACATATCAGCAAAGTTTTCGCTGCCCAGAGAGAAGACGTGGATACGAGTACCAGGGCGGAAGATACCCAAGATGTTCCTCGATAAGCAGGAGCTGGCTCTCGCCCATCACCTTCATGTACACCAAAATATGAAGTCATCTCCAGTCGCAGCCTGACTGGAGAAGACCTTGGAGACCAGTACTCTCGATCTGGATGACCTCCAACATCGAGCAGCTCCGACAACGTCGCCACGGACATCATCTTCACCACAGTCAAGGCGCGGGTTGATGGTATGGACCGGAACCTGGAATGGAAAGACCAATATTTTCTTCGTGGACCCCGGACTGAAGGTGAGCGCTGGCGGTTACATCGAGCAACTCGTGAAGAATATCCTCCTCACATGTCGTCGCCCGTACCTTCTTGGAAACTTTGTACTGCTACAGCATTGGGTGCCACCACATGGAATCGAAGGGCGTTGGAGAAACTCTCGCCTACTTGGAATGGAAGGGGGCTGAGTACCTAAAGAAGATGGAATATCCAAGTAGGTCACCTGACCTGAATCCCCTCAATTACCCGGTTCGGGCGGAGTTTAGGGTGGTCTACGGTGGCGGAGAAATCGACTATCTCGCTGATCTCAGGCACCACATCGCGGTCGCGTGCCAGAATCTCTCGATGGCGCTCGTCCAGAAGGCTGTGGCGGAGTGTCATGATAGTATTTAATATGCTCTTTAATATGGTGGTAGAAATGTCCGATCAGAATTTATAAAGTGTAACTTATAGCGCCTCGAAAGTCAATGAAGCAAAGTGACTTTTTTGCCCCCTGTACACTATGACCCCTTAATGCGTCACACTTCATGGGCAGTGGTGGGCTCCAAACCTAAATTGCTTATAGCAGTGTTCAACCGTTCAGTGCTACGTGTTCTATGCTTGCTAATAAAGATGATATAATTTATTCGCGTACCCACGCTTTCGAACCGCTTTCTGATGTCTCAGGGGAAACACACAATCCCCTAGGAATAGGGAAATAGAACTGCGACAATATAGCCATGACCTCTGTCATGAAGTTAATAATGTAGTTCCTCAGTTGCAGCCCGCGCTGATTGTTCTCACCTGCATAATGAATCTCGAGGAGTTCTTGTCGTCAATCGTAACAGAGTGATCAACAAAGACCATGACCATTCTTCTGCTGTAAACGTGAGCCATCAACGACGTCAAATCAAAATTTTCAGTTCGCCATCTGTCGTCGCCATCTACCATTGGCCACACACCGTAATTCTGTAGAGAGTACTTGTGGTGAGAGTTGAAGAACCTGTAGACGAGCGTTAGCAGAAAACACACCCTAATAGTCTGTAGCAGCTGCTGGACCCGATCCTGGTCAGTTCCTTCTTGTCCATACATTTGTGGTACATAGACTTCACGGGCGTTCATGGATTTAGAAGCGAAGGTTTCTGGCGACTCGAATGCATCTGAATGTGGCTGCGGATAGCTGAGACCATAAACTCGTCAAATGATAAAGTACTACTGGCTATGAGTTATATTAAGAATTTTTCAACAGCTGTTATTTTTCAAAACCTTAAGCATTACAGTCCCATAATTTCAAAGGGTTCAATATGTTGGCAGTACCTTTCATCTGCTCCTGAACTTTTTCGAATAGTACATCTGATCTTGCATACCGCTCCTTATCATCAGGAATCGGATGAGCGGTGATCCATTTGCCACATGTGAACTCGAAAAAATCCACGCATGGATTGACCTGAACTCCTCTGTTACGTGTGATTTCTTTGTTGATCAATATGATAGTAATCCGAGTGGTGAGGTCCACATCTCCGCGTGGTATCACAGGGAATTGCTTGCCCCCGCAAGCCGAGCTAACCAGGGACATTCGCCAGGTGAAAGGCCTTCGTGATGGGCCGTAATACAAAACCCATG